TCAGCATTTTATTTGTCCTTTGAACGGATGAAACGTTTTGAATGGCACTCTTATCGATGAATTTTCCACTAAACCAAGTAATCTTCTCAGATCTAGCTTTATTTACCCGCCGTTTCATCATAAAACCGGAAGTGCGAGTTTGTAAACTTGAAATCTCGATCCCGACTCAAATTTGACATCGAAAAGAATTTTTTTTTCTTTCTGAAAATTCAAAACCTTGAGCGGAGGGTTTGTAAAACTGAAATTAAAATAAATCCTGGCCTTAAATATGTAATTAGATCATTAGCATATTAACCAGGAGCAAAGGATAAGATGTTCAAAGAATTCATGCATTTCACTATATAATCATTAGAGCCCCACCCTAAAACAAGAACCCTTGACCTTGGGACCATAAAATTCACAATTTGGGTAGAGACATTCTTGCTCATCATAACTATGTACTTACTTAGTTTATTTAATACCCAGGAGCAGAGAAGAAGATTTTCAAAGAATTCATGTATTTTCACTATATAATCAATAGAGCCCCGCCCTAACACCAGAACCCCTGACCCTGGGGCCATAAAATTCACAATTTTGGTAGAGGCACTCTTGCTCATCATAACTATGTACTTAGTTGGTTTATTTAATACCCAGGAGCAGAGAAGAAGATTTTCAAAGAAATAATGCATTTTCACTACCTACTTATTTAGCCCCGCCCTAGCACTAGAACCCCTGACCCCAGGGCCATGAATTTCACAATTTTGGTAGAGGACTCATTGCTGATTACAATCATGCAAACAGTTTGACTGCTTGATGTCCAGGAGTAAAGAAGAGGATTTTTAAAGATTGCATTAATTTTAGTGGTTTTGGCCCCACATCTCAGGCCCAAGGGGGACAGGGACCATGAAATTCACAATTTTTGTTCCCCTTTACCCACAGATGCTGTATACAAAATTAGGTTGAAATTGGTTTAGCGGTTTCAGAGAAGAAGCTGAAAATGTTCAAATGTTAACACACGACGAACGACGGACGACGGACGCCGACGGACAAACACGGATGGCAATAGGTCACCTGAGTGACTCAGGTGACCTAATGAAAGAGAAAAACAAGATGCCCAGAGGTCACATTTCTCACCTGAGCAACTGGTTCGCGAGAAGAAAAATTTAAAGAATTTGCTATGTAATGCTTCTTAAAACTTGAACCATCCATTATGGCCCCACACTTGCCCCAAGGATAATGATTTGAACAACTTGAATCTACATATACATGTACACTAACAGAGTATGCTTCATTCAAGTATGTCCAATCATGGCTCTGCTGTTCTTGAGAAGAAGATTTTTAAAGATTTTCCCTATGTTTTCCTATGTTATACTTTGATACCGTATTGTAGCCTCATCCTACCCCAGGGGGTCATGATGTGAACAAACTTAAATCTAAACTACCAGACGATACTGCCATTTGATTATGACCAATCGTGGCTTTGCAGTTCTTGAGAAAAGGGTTTTTTAAGACTTACTATGCATTCTTATATAATTAAACAATGATACCCCACTGTGGACCCACTCTACCCCCGGGGGTCGTGATTTGAACAAACTTGCACCTACATAACATATCTAACTATGAGTTTCATACGAGGGCTGTTCAATAAATAATGTCCTCGGTAGTCGGAAAGAAGCAAAATACACTTTTCAATGATTTTGTCTCTTTTATTTATTTATTAATCTCTTTTAATTACAACACATGTCCGTAACCTTTTTTATCCAATATCTGATTGATTTTAGAACTCATTTTTGGGTATGACCCTTGGTATACTGGGAAATGGCAGATCCAATGATTTCCTGGACTTGTTTCTAATTTATCAAAGGTGTTTTTCCAAGTTTGAAAATACAAATAAGTCAAAAGATCGAAGATCTGGCGAATATTGTTAATGTGAAAAAATATTAACTATCTACCAGGGGTATGTATCCCGAAAACCCCTTTACTTTTCAGGTTGTGCGGGTTTGGACGCTGTCATGAAGAAATTTAATGTAGTGGATTCCTGATTCTGGGTCCTTCCTATAGTTAACCTTTCGATTTTTTTGCAAAAAAAAAATGTTTTCTAGCCTCATCCAGAAATTAAACTGTCTCCCCGAATCCGAATCCGAACAACAATAACACTTATATTTAAGGACATTGCATATAAATCTGTCTTTTTACTCTTGTAATTCTTTGCTCTCGCCAGAACTTCCCTGTTTTTGTCAAGTACATCTTATGGTAAATTTTGTTTTGAGGATTTAAAGCAATAGATTCAAGTTTCATTATCTGTTTGAATATCCAAAAAAACGTGGATAACTCCAATTACTGATATTTTAAAATAATTGTTTAGACATTTATACACGCTGTCGTTTTCACTCATTTTTCAAAATATAGGGTGACCTTTGAGTACTAAACTTTTTTACCGTCAAACGTTTCTTAAAACAGTGTAAACTAACCCCGATATGATGTCTATCAAATTTGCTATTTGTCTTAAAGTCATTCCTACCTCATGAAGTATTTTTTGTTGAAATTTGGCAAACAGTACATAAGTGTTATTATTTTTTGTTGGCAAGGACGGTACCCATTTTTGATGCCGATTATATAATTTTTTATCATTGAAATCCACCTGCTCATTCGTCTATAAAACAGGTATTGGTTGCTTTAAATGTCAAATATTTTAGTGAAAATTTCTTTGGGATTTTTAACAAGTTTTACAGCAGCTTTGTTTAAGCTTTTATTTTGACTCTAGTTTACCGATTCTTAACCATTCATTTATAATGCAGTGTCTCGAAAAGCCCTTGTTTCCCAGCTTCTCACAATAAAACTATGTGATGAAAAGTGGTCACATGAACTGTTATAAATTCATTAAAGATTCAATTATGAGAGAAAGCCAATTTTAATGTCATATGATGTCTGTATTGTATGTCATACAGTTCAGGACATTATTTATTGAACAGCTCTCGTATGTCTTGGTCCAGTGGATCTTGGGAAGATTTTTTTAATGCCATTGATTTTTCACTAATCTTTTTTTGGCCCTTCATTTGAACAAACTTGAATCACCTTTGCCCAAGGATACTGTTTGGCAAGTTTGGTTGAAATTGGTCCAGTGGTTCATGATAAGATGAACATGTGAAAAGTGTACGACGAAAACGACAATGACAGACAATGGTCAAATTTTGATAAGAAAAGCTCACTTGAGCCTTCGTCTCTGGTGAGCTACATGTAAGAAAACCAGAGAATGAGTTTTAAAAACTCAGTAAAATGAGAGTAAAATTAAATTTAACTTACTTTCTGCATATAATATCATTATACATGTATAATTATCATATGATCGCAATCTCTAAAGATGCCGTATAGATTTGGGATATTCTGATATATTACTTTTTTTCGAATTTATTATTTCCATAGTTTCCACTTATTCAACATGCTATGCCTTACATAAAAAGTAATTGTTCAAAAAAAAAATACTTATGCGATTATGAAATCAGTTCCCAATTGCAACGTACAGACATTTATTTCCCTGAGAACAAAAAAAATTAAAACCCATGAAAATATGTAATTTTACAGTGATATACTACATAATAAATTGTCAAATGAAGATATACATGTACTGTAGAAGTGCTTTTTTCCGCGTGGTATTTATTTACGCTATTACACAATCACAAATTTTCCGCGGTAATTTGTCCAAGCGTACTTAATATAAATGTAAGGCACACAGTGATAACCTAAAAAAATCCGCGTAGTTTTCTACCGTGGATTAAACAAAAATTGTGATTCTGCGGAATTATGACTCCCAAAAAAGAACGTCTACAGTATTTCATTGATTGTAGTAAAAAAGAAATCTATGTAATTTCACAGTATCGTCAAAAGTTGTCCAAATTGTGATCAGCACAATTAAATAATATAGTAAAGGTTTAAAAATCATTCTATCGTATCTAAACTATAGTAATACTAGATAATGTAAATATATCATATATGGTAATTATTTATCAAGATTTAGCGTTAATTTGCTTGATTTGCTTTGTTGATAATGCTATTTGAATGAAATATATATGAATCTAGGATAAGGACATTAAGGTATGTACTTGATTTAGCGGACGATCCTTTCCGCTTAAATTGCTTTAAAAAATACCTCTAAATGTTATACTTTACAGTAATTGATATATTTCATTCGCACAATATTAATACAAAAATGCCTTTCGATCTCTATGGGATTTTATCAAAGACAACAAGACAGCCGCACGAGATAAAACATGCATTTTCTATGCCTTCTTAGTGTTGAACAAAAAGATACAGACACAAAATTTTCTTGCATATTAGGCTTCCTTAGCTTAGGTACTTTCGCTTAGCTAGATTTGCATGTCGGTAAAATGATCAAGAAAGCAAATCAACTAATTTTCAAAGAGTTGTCACAGAGAAAAAAAGAAAATAAATTTATATACGAGTACAAGTAAAAGGCATTCAAACATCTCCCTTGTAAACATAGAAAATTCATGCACCGACACCATTTAACTTTAAAAAAAATTATAACATGAAGCGTATATATAGCATCCATATGCACATTCCATAGATAAAGGTATTGTCTAAGATTCGCATAAATCCAGATGAAGTGTTTCTGTAATCCTGATGTAAACTTGAAAAGAAAAAGACGTGCTTTGAAATAAGCGATTTAGTATCAGAGCAATTTGTATTCACTTTACTAGGTTGCTTGAAATTTCACAAATATTGAAAGAGTACCATGCAATTAACACACTTTGAATTATTGATATTTTTAAATTATGTGTGTTATAGTTAATATTTGTGTAAATACCAAATGCATGTTAAAAAATTTTGACATGGAATATGGCTAAGCAAATTGTGGTTATCAGGTGGAATAATTATTTAAGCCCTTCACCAAGAGGAAAACAACAAAGAAAAAAACATGTGCATTTAATGATCCAATTCTCTTTTTTCATTTTTTTTTGTATAGATTGATTTTAAAAAATGATTTTGGTTGTTAAACATACTGTACCTGTTTTTATTAATTATTCCATAGCATTCAGTATCTAAAATATAAAGTAATATCTTAATCAAATAGCACATGGACCACCAAGCTAATCCTAGTAATTATGGGTCTATTGTTCCTATACAGTAAATTGTTCCTTATCTGAAGTGTGGTAGCACCCAGACCCACAAGAGTCTTGGTTTGAACAAACTTTAGAAACAACATTATCTGATGGTAAATTGTACATGTACCAATATGACTTTCGATGAGTCTGCTCTTCATGGGAAAAAATTAAAGCATTTTTCATTTGATCACATATTGTTGCCACATTGTATCACAAGAAGTCAGAGATTGATGAAAAAAAATGAAAATGTAATACCTTGCGATGCCTCTATATCAAAATGACTTATCATGGCCTTGCGGCCCTTGACAGATTTAAAAGATATTTCTTAAATTTCATTTGTTAAACTTTAATTGTCCACTTTGGCCTCAACCTTTCCCAAGGGTCATGATTTGAACAATCTTTAATTTGCATTTTAAGAATACTTTTAAATAAATACGACTACTAATGGATTTATTGTTCTTGACAAGTAGATTTTCTCTTTAAAAAACTAATATTCCAATGTTAAACTATAATTCTCTTTTTGTGTCTCACTATTCCCCTTTGATTATAATTTTTGCAAACTTAAATCCACACGATACATGTTTATAGAAGTCTAGTTCATTTTTTCTGGCATATATGTTCTCGAGATGATGTTTTTAAGATGCGAATGAATTTAAACTAATGGGTGATTCGATCCCTTAAGATAAGTCGTTGTTGAAATCACCTTTACCACAAAACAATTGTTGCAAGTTTGGTTGAAACTTGACAAGTGTTTCTTGTGACAGTGTAAAATTTTACAGAAAGATTGACACACTGGCAGCTAGATTGACAGATGGTTGGCAGAACAATTCTGATCAAAAATCATTTGAGCTTTAAAATCCTCTCACGAAAGTTAAATTGTTTCCTAAATAATTTATTCATTTAAAGAAGACAGATCAAACTTAAAATAAATTTTCTTAAAGATCATAACACCATGTCAGAGAGCACATATTCAACCTTTTTGTCATTATTTGCATGGGTTTCTTGTTTGTTTTAGATCCGGGTTAATGAAACTAATGTCCCTAGAAATTTGTTGACGTTTATTATACCTTCAATTTTATTTTATCTTTGAACAATTTAAAAATCCTGGAAAGGACTAAATTTTTCACGGGCGTCAAAAGTAAGGTTGATATGCGGTTGCAGGCATTTTACATGGACCAAAATCACTTATGTTCCTGTATTAAACCTTTTTTTTTACAACTGGACGACTACCGATCTAGAACGAAATAACCTGGTATGCTTTTTACACCGACTGCATTACCACGAGGAATAATTTACATTTGAAAACTGTTTTGTCAGTTTTTTTTTTTATTTTTACAAAACCCAGTTGTAAAAAAAGTTGATTAGTTGGTCGTACATTGTATGGTACATATCTTCATGTTTTTATCATTTTATCCGATTTATACGATTTATTCGTTGATTTAAGGAGGATGAATATGCATAGAGGTAAGAATTCATATCATATATACTGTCACGACACCATGTACCGTCTACCAATTGGTGTCCTTCTGGTAAGGTGTTACTTACCTTTTATATTTCGTTTCACCGAATAATCATACGTACATTTGTAGGCACTAGTTGACAGATAGTCCGTTTTACAAAATTTACAGGTTGCTTGATAATATTCCTGTATTTTGCGTCCCAATGTATTATACTCTGCACAGTGACCTAATGAAATAGAGGTAAGAAATTAGGTTCAAGAGTAAGGATTATTTTGTTTTTCTCAAAAAAGAAAGAACAGTGTTTCTTTAATTGAATCATAACTTCGATGGTATGTTTTTACAAAGAAAAGGTATATCATAATTTATTTGATTTTCATAATGTTCTTATCGTGTGGAATGTTGGGGATGTAGGTTCAATATTTATGAATTAAGTCCATAACCTCAACACTCCACTATTTTAAAAATTATGGTCTGATTTACAGATAAGCATAATCGAATAGATATCTAAACTTGAGACACTATGAATACAGATCAAATATACGACAAAGGTATGTACAAGGACCGTTCAAAAATCATGCGGACTATGCTATAAAGTATTAATGAAGACTTCAAATAGACGAAGTTTAAGAGAAATGTACACCTTAAGGTTTCCAATACAGTTTTAAAAAAGAAATGGTTTTTAATTAATTCATACTTTCTGTTTTGGTATAGGAGATGGTGGTCAACAGAGGACGATCAAATTTACATTTCACTTAACATAAAAGTGCTTCTATCCAGTTTGTGAGTAAAAAAGGCATAAGTTTACAAGTCAATAAATTCTGATAAAAAGAACGTGAAATCCTTTTATTCAGGGTGTGAGTCGATTACTCTGATGAAAAGTACGTTAAATCCTATTATATACATGTATGTATTTTCATATTTGTCGTAACATTTGAATAACCAACAGAATCGCAGCATTGTTAAGGCTTGAAAAAGAAGGTTGGCCTAATTTATACGGAAAATGTTTACTTTGACATCACACAAAAATAGTTATCTATCATTGTATAAGAAAATCAAATACTTTGCCAATTTAAACTGTAATAGCATAATAAACAACATCAAACTTATCAATGCATTAAAACTAGTTGCTTGTTAAATCCTAGAAAACAGTTTATAAACAAATCACTGAACGCAGCAAACTTGTCGACATGACATCATTTTGGATATGTACTGTGAGAGGCAGATCAAGCATGTTTTTTTACAGCGAAAAATGCATTTTATTACTTAACAGAATATTATCTACAGATTTTAGATTAATACCAATGTAAAACCTTTGTTTAGTGCGATTATAGAATGAATAGCGAGAAAACGTATTTCATAAGTTATACCGAGTTTATGTGTACTGGTTTGGCAATTTTTTGAATATTAATAAAGGATATTTTCTTTAACTTTAAAAGGGCTGCTGCTTTCTCTAAATCTAGAGTGACTTGATAAGGATATAGAAATACTTGGTAAAGGTCAAACAATACAAAACATGAGCAGAATAAACAAGGACCTCTAAAACATCAGAGGTGGGATCAGGTGCCATGGAGGAGTGAGCATCCCCTACCGACCGGTCACACCCGCCGTGTGTTTCTTGTCATGGAAACAATCCGTCGTCAATTAAGTATATAAATAATGGACTAACAATTAGTATGAAAAACGTCAGTCACCATTTGACTTAATGACAAATTGCATTTGTGATGCTTATTCATACACAGTGATTGGATAAGTTAAACTGTACAGTATCAATATTTTTACATAAAAGTTGAGAAAATGAAAGCTCATTTTTTTTGTACTACCTGTGAGGTCAAATATTTCACTGTACATTAACTGATGTTTCCTATCAAATTGCTTTACAAAGGACACATCTACAGCTTGTTTTCAATGGGTAACGTAACAAAATTCATTTTAAACATCCTGCCTTAACTTAAACAATCAATCCAATTAATCTTTTTCACATTATTACCTCACAAACGGAGATATTTCATTACATATGTTATTAATTGAACATATGTATGACTCTAATTATGCCAAATTTCATGCTGGTCTGATTTCGTTAATGTAGAGATTGTTCGCGAACTTTTGATCACCCCTTGTATTTGCCTTTCAGTTTTCTTTTTGTCTTTTTTTTTTTAAAGGGGGTGAATTTTTGTTGTTTTTTTTTTTGTTTTGTCTTTGTTTTGTTTTGTTTTTTGTTTTTGTCTGACTTACAGGCGAGTTATAAAGAGTTAAGCAATTTTCTGAAATGTAGTATTTTTTATACTACATTTGGTGATTCTGGACATTTAGTCTGGATATATAATATAAGATTATCATTAAAATATTCTAATATTACACTTAAAGTATAAAAATTTATATAATTCAATAATTATCTTTTTAAAAAATCAACCGACTTATAGGCGGACCGACTTACAGGTGGGTATTTCTTAAAAATCCTGCGGTTTAATCATTCACCTACATGAAATTAGCATCATATCTCAACTGATCACATTTTCATGGGTCCTTTGTATTGAAAAGGAGAACAGACTAGAATAACACATTTTTAAGATAGTGCTAAAATGGCTTTAGGATCAGTTTGAAACAAACCAGTTAGAATACAAGCGATAGAAATCCATGAATTAATTTTGTAAACAAGGTCAGTTTATTGATCATATAATGTACATATTAAAATGCTGCCTTTTATTAACATGATTTTTGAAACTCGTTTTATTATCTTTTAAATATAAGTAGATTGTCTTGCTTGAAGAGATGTTCGTTTTCAGAATTTGCTTAATGAATTAGATGGGAGATAGAGTACAGAACATGCAGACGATATTTGAATTTAACTGGATGACAAGGGAAACATTAATTACGGTGTAGTTGTATTTTGTATAATGCCCCATTCGAGAATGTTTACCCTTTATACAGACGCCAACCTATACCGAAGAAACGCTTCAAATTTAGACTTACATTTATACTCTGCAGTCAATCAGATTGACCCTGTAGCGGTATCGTATCAGAACAGCTGATTTTTTTCAAATTGACTCTGCAGTCAGTGCGTTACAGCCAAAAGGGCACTTATTATGCCTATGCCCTCCATAACAGATACGAGGCATATATTTTTAAGGTCGCATTCGAAATTGACAAATTTGACAATCCAAAACTTGATTTTGGCTTAGGTTTATTATTATCTTGATATTGCTTTGCACTAGACTAGAATTCAAAGAACTAAGAAGTACAGAGAGCCGGGCTCATTTACAGTGTAGAATGAATTTCTTACATGAATCAAGTTTATATTCTGATTAATTATTTTAAAACTATCAATATAAATGATAAGACACTGACAGTGGGTTTTTCAATCCTAATACCACGGTCCAATTTTGTCAGAATCAGAATTAATCTAGTACCGCAGCTGAATGTAAACAAACAGGCCAGTCTGGTTCCCTCTCCTGCTTTACCTCGTATGTGTAGAAAACTACGATCATACTGATTATCGAAAATCCTTACGCTAGTGAACTATGTTCTTTAACTTAGTTTTCAGTCATTACTACTAATTTTTATTTATATATATAAAATTTATTTTTGTTGCTTTATTTAGTGTTTGTATTATCTCAAAAGCGGTTGAGAGTAAGAACTATATTTTTGCACGTAACTTTTAAATGGCGACTATGGGGTGACTTCCTGCCTTGATCAGGATGACATAAGCCGGCAATTGCTCTTTAAGCAATAAGCCCGGCTAAAAACATAGTCAAATACTTGTATTATTGAATTTTACATTAGATATTTAATAAGTTCTGATTTTCAAATTTAATAAAAAGATATCACTTTCAAAAATCTTAACATTTTTGTTCCCCGAAATCGAGAGGACATTAAATCTCATTCGTCTGTCCGTCAGTCTGTCCGTCTGTTCATCCGTCACAAAAAGTTTAACCTTGCCAAACCCCTTTTGATTTTGTGGAGTATGACTTTCATATGTCACGTGCATTCCTTGTGATAAGACCTTTCCTTGTTACCACCATATTTGATCTTTTGACCTTGACCTTGGTGTTTGAACCACTTTTACATAAAAATTCCAAACCTCTACTTTGGCCATCTTTGGCCATAACTATTGAATTGTAAAAACTAGGACGTTCATATTTCACATATGTATTGTTTGTGGAAAGACCTATCATTGGATACCAACAACCTTGACCTATTGTTCTTGGATATTTTTGTACTTGTGAAAAAACTTTAAACTTGGACATAAAATTTGAACGGTTCGGGATAGGGCTTACATACTTCACATGCGTTATCCTTGTGAGAAGACCTTTCATTGGATAAAAAGAACTTTGACCCTTGGACCTTGAAGTTAAACTTACTTTTAAATAAAAAAAAAACCTTGACCATAACATTTAAAGGTATACCTAAGGGCTAAGAATTACATGTTTTACATAATTCATCCTTGTGACTGGAACCTTTCATTGCATATCAAGAATGACCTTGACCTTGAAGTTTGACCAATTTTAAATGACAAAAATTTAGATAATAATATATCTTATTTTGCATTTTAGAAAAGTTTAATCTTTGCTATGTTGCCATACGGGGTCATCAGTGTTTCACAAACACATCATGTTCCTTTTCTTGAGAAGAGAGATAATGGCTATCTAATTTCACATGTGCATTACATAAAAATAATAATAATAATAATACTATTTTTAGAGAAGGTAACCCGATTAGTGCGAGCACTAGTCTTCCTCGGGGCCTTCTTTAAAACATATATACAATGCATATATACAATAAATAGAATTACAATTATGAGACAATAAAAATAAGTGTATATTACAAAGTAATAAAACATCAACATTTCAATATATAGAGGGAGAAGAACAAAAAATCATATAGAATCACTGTGCGTTTCATCAGCAGAAAATTTTCAACATTTCTTTTAAATATTGCCAGGGATTGGGACTTCCTGTTATTAATTGGTAACTCATTCCAGATAATAACCCCTGGATATTGTAAAGAATTCTTAAATAAGTTAGTTTTATATTCTGGTAATCGAAGTTCTGAATTTGTTTCTGAGCGTAACGTGTATGATCCAGGACTTTGAAATTCAAAAAGATAATGCATATAATCGGGAGACATACCATTAAATATTTTGAACATAAGAATGCTTTTTCTGTAAATATAAAAGTTCATAAACAGTTAGCCAACCTAAAGTGTTAAATAAAGGCATTGAAGGTGTATCAAATTTTTCATTTAAAATAATCCTAGCTACTCGTTTTTGTAATCTGTAGATTCTATCCATATGCTTTTGAGGACAATTGTCCCAAATGGATAGACAATATAAAATTGATGGTAGAATAAAAGCATTATAAAATAGTTTTCTGGTATGCATTGAAAGAAACCTTTTAATTTTTCGTAAAGTAAATAATTTGTATATAAGAGTTTTTCAAACTGCATCTACATGACAAGTATATTGAAGATTATGATCAATGTGAGCACCTAATAATTTTTGCATCTCTACGTTTTCTAGGGGCTGGCCGGAAAGTTGCAAATGAAAATTAACGTTTTCTAATTTAGATTTCCTTTGTTGTGTTCCCATTAACATACATTTTGTTTATCAGTATTTATAATCATCTGATTTTGTTGACACCATTTTTGTATTTGACAGAGTTCATGATTAAGAGTTGTTTCAATACGTGAAATATTATTACCATGAAAATGCATTGTAGTGTCATCAGCAAAATATCAATATTACAATGTTCAACACACAATGGTAAATCATTGATATACAATAGAAACAACAAAGGACCTAAATTAGAGCCCTGTGGCACACCTGCTGTGACTGGCAGTGATTCAGATGTGCGCGAACCAATTTTAACACTTTGAGTTCGATCATATAAGTATGATTAAAACCATTTTATTGATATTGGATCGAAGTGATAGCATTTAAGTTTTCTAATGAGTATATCATGATTAACAAGATCAAATGCTTTGGTAAAATCCAGATAAGTAATGCCAGTAAAATTCCCTTGATCTATTGCATGCAGCCAATTATCAGTTAGTTTTGTGAGAGCTGTCTGACACGAGTGAAGATCTCGAAATCCAGATTGTGCTTTAATTAATACCTGTGATAATATGTTTACAAGCATGCTATGATTTGTGACCCACTTACCTTGACCTTAAAGATTTGCCTTATTTTTAAAAAAATACCCTACATATATTTCTAAATGATATATGATTGGGCATTCATATTTGAGACAATATATCATAAACAAAAATGACATCTCACTCTTAAAGACACCGAAAGAGGGGCACCACAATTCTTTGAATTTATATATAATGACATATACTATGGAGATCCTATGTAAAGGTTCAATTCGTTATATAAAAAAAAACAAAAGTGGATCAAATAATGTAACATTGTACATGTATCAGTAATTACTGTGTATGAGTATCAGTTGAATTCTGTAGCGTACAAATGAATAATAATTTTCAATACTTTTGTTTAAGCGTTTGCAATACATATGTTAGTAAATGCTGAAAGATTCACTTGAGTTAGGATTGGTAGGAAAGGTTTATATCGTAATTGGCTCAAATACATGATTTTTATAGTTTCATTATATATATATATATATATATATATATATATATATATATATATATATATATATATATATATATATATATATATATATATATATATATATATATATATATATATATATATATATATATATATATATATATATATATATATATATATATATATATATATATATATATATATATATATATATATATATATATATATATATATATATATATATATATATATATATATATATATATATATATATATATATATATATATATATATATATATATATATTTTGAGAGTTAGAGCCAATAAATGTACATTCTACCTGAATCGCACCTGCATAATGTAGTTTTCTAACTATGTATTTAAGGTTAGAAAGCATATTGATTTATTAATCGAGTTAATGTAGATATTGTGTTGCATAGTTAAAAGCTATAAAACTAGAATATTGGCATGGAATAAAACATCTTTGGTAGTTTATTTGAATGGTATGGAAAATCCCGTTTGTATCTGTCATGCACCAATCTTTACTTACCTTAAATATTGTTTATGGATTTTTTTAAAAACTAATATCCATTATCTGTCAAAAAAAATCAAGCATTGTTTTTATTTCATTAATTATTTTTAAGAACTCTTTTCTACATTTTGGACATTTTAAAATTATATTAAAATAATAAGCTACGCTACTGTATATAATCATTAGTGTCGTTGACAAGAAGTACTTCTATTAAACAGTAAAACTTGTTTTATCCGACATTTTTAGTTCAAAATTAATTGCCCGGATAGGAAAACACCCCGTTAAGACACATCAAAAATATTGAATTTACTGCAAGAGGCGTAAAAATTACACTGGAATAGGTATGATTTCGGATTGTGCAAAATCTGGATAAGAGAAGTTTCAAAAAACCTACGCGTTTCACCATTTTCAAAGAATTATAATTATATTTCTATACTTTGTAGACTTTGCAGCGATTTTTGATTTACATTGGAAAGTGAGCCTAATTTACCTGCCGGAATCTTTGCAACTGGTGCACACACTTCCAGACTCTTGTTCTGCCATTCGTTCATCACACAGTGATACTGAGGTTGACTGAGGCAGCTGTGCTGAATGGCTGAGCAGTTCTTCAATATTGCCCTTGTATTCCATTCATCTTTATTGATTGGACAAGAAACAACTTTCTCAACAGTTTTTTGAGATTCAAGGCAATGCTCCTCATCAGAAGCAACACCATATATCTGAAAATGAAAAGACAGTAAGACCAAGGCTGGTCATTTGCAGATAACATAACCATCAGTTGCGGTAAAAAAAAAATTGATGATAGACAATAATAAATTATGGGCTGGTTATTTGGCATACTCATCTGAGAAACTATAGGATTGAAATTAAGATTTTTCAATTTGATTTTCAATTTGATTGGTTTAGTAAAGTTGTTGTTTAAAAATGTTAACATATGATCAAAGGACAATTATTTCATTTCACAAATAGGTTAACCAGATGTGGATAATGATGTTCAATCCACTTCTTTATCCACTACTTTTAAAGACTTACAAATGGTATAAATATAAATGATAAAGATAGATACATTATCTTATTGGATTCTAATAGGAATTCTGATTTTGTTTATGCCTCCACAAAGCAAAATGCATTGCATATTTAGGTATATGACGTCAAAGGGCATTTTTCTTCTTCATACCAAACAGGATCGTCAAGAAAAAAAATAAATTGGAAAGTAGGGCTTGGTTTAAAAAAAAATCAAAAATCGATTATTTTCCAGCAACTAATTCCCTCTGATGAGGAATCAGATGGTCATTGTCTTATTAATTCCTAAGAAACACATTCAAAAGTTTATGGCATGATAACCCTGGTCCGTGTTCCCTATATGTATATCGGCGCCCTCTGATGCATTTTATAGCGAGTGTTTTACAAACAATTTAATTTGAAAAAAATAATAATTAAACTATTTTGATATAGACTTACATTCACTTAAATTTTGGAATACAATAAGGTTATCTTAAATCATTTATTCTGTCTAAAAACGGCGTTGTCCATATACTTTTTGGACAACCCATGTAATGTCTATGTCAGTTACAAAAATGTTCTTTGGATAACCACTTCTTGACACCAAATAATCAGAAATATAAGCATTTTGTCAGATATTCATCATTGACGAAATAAGATACGAAATAAGATTTAACGACTGCTTTTATCTTCATCATTTTCATCTTTTAATAGATATCAAGCTAATATAACCTCTAGAATTTTATGATACCACTATGTTTTTAATCGTACTTACTGTGTTCAGGATAAATAAGTTCAAATTGATCATAGCAAACTGTAGAGAAATCATCCAAAGATGTAAAATTTTCATGAACATATATGTTCTCCTCATGATGTGCAGGATTAATCTGATAAAAAGAATTTGATTAATATTAATCAGGATGCCATATTACCTCTTTAGACTCATGGACTAAACCTCAGCTTCTGAATTATGTTTAACCATTAAACTGTTTTTTTTTTCGAATACCAAGAACTTGATTGGATCTCATTGGATAGTCTACACAAAATTACTTTTTAGGCATAGATAAGATATTGATACCAAGTCTACCATCAGCTCATGAATTCAACTCTGTCGTTAATTTGTTTGTATTTGTAACGTATTCAGAACAAGGTCATAGAATGATACCCCAACTCCCAAATGATTATGGTGGTTAATCCCATGCTTTCCTTTTAGGGACCAGGATTCTTTTTAAGACTTTTTATGCAAACGAACCCAGAAATAAGTGTCTCATCAAAAATATTATGAAAGGTGCACAATGGCATTATGCAATAAAGAATCTTGTAAAAGTATTCATAATTTTATTCAATGGTATGAAAGGCGGTGAATATAAGGAATGGGTATCCATATATATTTTTGATAATTAGGCAGTTTCGATAATTTCCTTAAAGAAACCCGAAAAAAAGTAAAAAAAAAAAAGGTCACAATGACAATACACCATGAACGATATATAACAAAGTTATATGAAAATCCCATTAAATTCCATTCAGTGGTATAAGAAGAGTCGTGGATAAGGGGTGGGTAACCAAAAGTGTTCAGGATGGACAGACAAACATTAAGATGGAAGGATGGACATCTCAATAACTACATGTATACATGTGTATACCTCCTTCCAAGTAAATAGTAAATAAGCAAGATTGGGGTATTTTAAAAGATTAAAGTCTTTAAGTTGAATTTGAATTATTCCTTACATGTAGAATAAAAATTTTATTTTCTTGTAGCTAAATGTTAGATCTTTGACCCACCTATTTGTAGTTCAGTTTACAATCGTTATTGTTTATCTGTCTTCATTGTTGGGGTCATGAGATTAAGTATGATAGAGAGAAAGGGGTGTGTGAGAGATAGAGAGAACGAGTTCTGTTCAATATTAATGAATCCCGTTTTAAACTACCTGCTCACCTTTTTTCATACTTATGCACACCGTCAAAGTAGAAGCACATTATCTATACTAAGTAGTATGAATATACAAGTACAGTTACATGTAGACTGGTAAGGTGTTATCTACTTATTTATAACTTATAATTTCAAATTACATAAATATTTAAATAATTTTAATGTAAAGTTGATGTCAAATTTGTAAAACGGATATATAAAGTTAGTGAACTGCGTGTAAAATATGAATTTTTAGTACAGTGTACTTGGTATAAATGTTGTAGGTTTATTTTACATATATACGAAGGGTGATAAAAAAGTTCTTAATTTTATCCATTCGATACGTTCAATCATAAATTGAATTGACCGTTAAAGGGAAGGGAGTGAGAAGGTTGAATAGACGTTTGTTTTGTAGCAAAGCGAATGCAACCTGGGAAAGATTGATTAGTTAATTGATTATATATAGTTTAATGTCCCTCTTGCGAATTTTTCACACACGGTACGCGTATGTATGACGGTGAAGGACTTTAAATTTTGACCTTTACTCGGCACTCAGGGCAGAGAGGGATCTTTATTGTGCCAACGCCTGCCGCTGACACGGGGCCTCGGTTTTTAAGGTCTCATCCGAAGGACCCACAACTTTTACTTCAAAGTGCTGAGCGCATTGCGAAGAAACAGTTGCTACCCATTTTATCGACAAGGTCAGTCGCGGCCGAGATACAAACGCACGACCTCCCGATCACCGAGCGAGCGCTTTATCGACTGAGCTACTGTGAACGGTACCTGGGGAAGGGATGTGTCCATTTGTTTGGCAATTTGTTCTGAAAGATCGCGAAGTTATAACTATAAAAAAAAGGTGAATATCTTAACAATGATATTATTACTAAATCCCTAAAACACCGTTTACTTTAGACATTGAACATATTGAATATGATTAAAAGAAGGGCCAAATACCTAAATATCTATATCGGATAAAGACGAGTTGTGATTGTTGTCACCATCCTCTTTCTGGGAAAGAATATCCTTATACAAAATCCTATTTCCAGGATTTGGTCATTTCTGACAACAAATAGGCTGTTTTTGTTAAAAATTACTTGCATATTTAGAAATACAAGACTCGGGAAACATTTAAGCGTCTATGAACAGAATGCATTAGAGCATCTCACGTGTCCGTCTGGATCTCGTAATTCATGCATGGGCAGAACGGTGGCAGATATGTATTAAAATCCGAGAGTGCTTCCTTAAAATATAATGAATACCTAAACATATTTTTATCATTCATGGAGGTTATTATATGTATTGGCTTTTTCAACACCCCGAGTACTGTATATATATAAACTATGAAACCCCATGAATACTGATTTTTTCTAATCTCTACCGACGGGTTTCATTCTGTTTCCCAAAGTATCACATTATCCAGCGATGGGGTATACGATGAGAAACCGATGTATTTTTTTATGAAAATGACGTGGTTGCCAGTCGGCCACGACCCGTACCTAATCGGACAGTAATTGGGGACATTTTGCGAATCGTCAGGGTCATCAGTAGAAAATAATTCGTAGTTAAAATTCAGCGATGCCTCAAACAATGCCTCACGTCGCTCCTTAGCGGGAACCCATCATTAACACATCTTTCTAGGATCGGCTGATGTATGGCCAAGCATCGTCCAGTATACGTTGAATCTGAGGTCATCGGGGTAGAGTGGTGGGCTACATCGGCCGTTCATTGGTCGATGTTCGACTCAACATTGGTCTAAAATCCACCGACGTACGAACAATTTTCAACAATGTATAAGCGATGTAATATACCTTGGCCGATTACCCTGGAACATCGTTTTATGATTAGCAATGCATCGCTGGGCCTTTGTAAGACCAGCCAGCAACCACGACATTTTCATAAAAAAAAATGCATTGGTTGCCCATCGTATACCCCATCGCTAAATAATGTGACCGATACTTGGCCAATGTAAGCGATGTTGGGGCATCGCTCACACCATGGATTACCACCGGTCTACGGCCACCGGCTGAGAAATGTGACCAAAGCATTAAATATCAAAAATCATGGCCTATACCCGTTCTGAAAGAAGAACGGACAGGAAAAAGGAGATAGGAGTGAAATATTGCTTCCTTTATTATACAAAGGACAATTCTCATTAAGGGCTTATCTGTGGTCCCCGGTTACTCGTCAAATTTCGAACATTTATCAAGGCTTTAAAAATTAAATGTTCTTAAAGAGGCTCATTACACCACTTTTTGATGACGTACTACGCAAAAAAATAAACCTCCATTGTGTCGACCGGTTTGCTCAGGGGACGAGTTCTATAGGTACCTCTATAAGATGACCCTGACCTTTAAAACTCTTTAAAAATAGATGTAACATGCGGTGTTGTAAACAGTGAAGACAAAGTAACGGATTCATTATGCATAAACCAAGAAGAATTGCTTTTAGGCAGAAACAAAAGAAATCAACAGTCAAATCTTCGCCAAACAAGTAATGTCAATTTCATAGCCATGCATGCAGTGGACTCTATCTATCACTGACATGTATGTATGGAGGAAATTCGAGTTAAAATCTACAACCTCGTTGAAATTAAAATTTTATTAAATTGCGCTATTTACTGTGTTGGTGTTAATTGATATATTTGTTTTATTGATATAAATGTATACTCTGGAAATTTAAAGCTCTATTCTGAATTTTAGATGTAATGTCAAACGTTCCATAGTGTTTCGAGTCTTGGCTAATTAGGAAAGATAACTCTTGAACGTGGACTTTTTATACTAAATATTATTTAAA